TTATTATCTCAAAAAAGAACAAAAATTCACTTAAATGAGACTTAATTGGTAAAAATAATACATTTACATACGGTGACTTACATGAATAAAGTTACATAAACAAATCCAAATTAAGAAAGTACTGTCTTTAAATTAATGTTTGACAGTACTTTTTTAATTTATCTTTCAATTTTGAAAAAGATTTTTCATGAAATACCTCGTTCGGTAGACTATTGTACAGTAGCGCTCCCTCTAACTGAATAGTTTTCGAACCATAGGTTTTAGTCCTAGTTTTTGGTAATTTCAGTTTATGCTTGTTTCGTGTACAGTGTTGATGTGATTTACTTTTAAAATAATTTGTGTGTGTGTAAAAATAATTCTCTCAGATTCCATAAACTGAGAGAATTTTTCTGACTAGTGTGCACGTTTTGTATTTGTATAATTGACTTATGGATAATGTATCATTTTATTTATAGAGTTCCTTAGTCGGAAAGCGGTAGTCAAGTTGGAATAAAACTTTTAAGAATTTGTTCTGGGATATTTGAAGATCCTTTATATTACTTTTAGACGCACATCCCTGTATCTCTATTAAATATTTCAAGTAATGACTTAGCTAGTGAATTATAATTAATATTTCGGACCTTATACTGTATACAACGTTTAGATCTGCGCAAAGCTCCTGTCAATGATGTTATTTTTGACTGCAGGTCATCTAAATGGGCTCGCCATGTTTATTTAGAATCCAAAACTAGACGAAGATATTGTTCTGATTCTGACTGTTTTAGTTCTTGTTTATTTATTTTTATTTATTTATTCTTTATTGCACTAAATATTTGTACAAAAGGCGAGCTTAATGCTATATGGCATTCTCTACCAGCTAACCTTGGGTAGACCAGAGAGTGAGATTTGGGCAGTTAAGTTGTCATGATATAATTCAGTTCAAATATATACGTGCAACACATACATAAAATATACACATATATATAAAATATATATAATTCATATACTTATATATGTATAACTACACATTTATACATATATATGTCAATAAATATATATATAAATAACTATAAACATAAAATAAGTTGACTCAACTTTGTAGGCTACGGATATGCTCATATAGTTATCTTTTAAAAATATTTTTGGCAGGTATTGTTCGCAGGTCAACAGGCAATTTGCTGCTATTTGGTGGCAGACGTAGGTAAGAGCGCGGTATCTATCTCGATAGACTAGTAGACAGAAGAAGAGTCATACTATCTACTACTTATTATAAAGTTATCATTAAAACATCTTAAATAAATTAAAAAATCTTAAATTAATAAAAATTAAGGTTTATAATTAAAGAACCACTGAAACAATACAGATTGAGTATTTTTTTTTATAGGATATGGTGACAAACGAGCACACAGTCCACTTGATGGTAAGTGGTTGCAGTGACCCATAGACATCTACATTTATCCTCAATAAAGAATCAAAATGCAGATGCGTCGTCGCCCGTGAGGACTAAGATGGAATGCCTCTTCTCCAGTAAAATGGGTCTCCGGTTCTCTAGACTCACCGTACGAAACAGCGTTAAACTGCTATTTTACGCTGGTATTCTGTGAGAGCGTGGTCCTTCCCCGGTTGAGTCGACCCATCCGTGCTACAACTATACTACTAATATAGCTGCAGAATTGCTCTACCACGTGATACCAGATGCAACTTAAAACATAGGCTGCATTTACAAATATATCGCCAGCTGAAGAAAAGAGCTTGCATTCTTCAAAAAGATAATACCTCATTTCGTTGTTTTGTATACGTAAAACTGCTGTGCGAAAAACAGCTGATACTGAGAACCAATAGGAATGTATTACATTAAAGCATAACAAAATTAGTACGCTATTTTCATTTATATCCAATCATTTGGTCAACGCACGCCGATTATAGGAGTCAAGCAACACTTTTTCTTCCGATTTGTCGCACGCGTAATGAAGAGTGCGTGCGACTCAATTTAAACTTTATATCTTAAATTATATATCTGGTTCATTTGACAACTGATTTTAATGAAAACAAACACTAAATGTTAGCCGAAGTTTAGCTTATTAAACTACTGAAAATCACATCTAAATTGGTTCTGGCTTGCTGTGTATTGGCGACGTAAGATAATCCATTACTCCATGTCATCCATTTGGTGTCGTAAGAGACAAATGCGTAACTGAAAAAGGAGTTGGGCAGCGGCATCTGGTATATATATATCATCCTGGTAACAACTAAACATAATACAAACTGCGGTTACCAACCTCCCTGCTTGCAACTATAATTATGAGACAATTTATGAGGGAGACTTATGTTCAGCACCGTTTCCTGATCTTTTTTCGGAGGACAAAGGTTTTATCAAAACCAGTTTTGAAATTTAAAAAAATGACTCAATAACAAATACCTGTAATCTATATTGAATAAAAAATATTCTATCCTATTATTGGATATTTCATAGCCTGTAATTGATGGATGGATGGATTGTGGAGATAAGCGTGCACTAAGCACAAACGCACAAACATAGACACCATAAATCTGTATACGCTTTTAATAGATGCATAGATTAAATAATATAGATATCCACTACTCCCATTGGACGTTTAATACAACATTTATTACTTATTTTGTTAGTGTTATTGAAGTTGAAGACATGCATTCTATCGTGTTCTTGACTGATGATTGATCATAAATATAAATGAATTATTTTTAGCAGAGACAAGAAATTTAGTGTTTACAAAAATATCATTTTTTTTACATTTTTTTTTTACATTTTACATTTAATTTAAACATCTTCATATTACACGAACTAGTTCGAAATATCTATAAAATGTATGTTTTGCTACGCGTTCGATGCAGTTGTAGCCCATGAAAACGAGTTTCACTTTTAGAAAAATTACTTGACATCATAACCTTCATTTTATCTTGTGTCGTTTTGTGGAACGGCTGCCTAAAGACTGTATAGGCTGTACAGTAAAACGCGTTCTGAAGCTCATCATTCATATTCCACACTATCGATCGGTCTGTCTACTGACGTCAGACTACATTTTCATTTTCATAGGAACAAAAGCCGCCGGCATATGTCCGAATAGTAATACTACTCTTAGTTTGCGGCGTCGTCTGTTTTAATACAGTCCGATTTTCTAACAGAGGTTGGATTATAATGTATTTCAAAAGAGTTCAAAATTGAATCAATCAAATATTACATCAAAAACCCTATCTACCATAAATGTTTTCTATCTATAATAAATTAATAACAGTTCCTCCTGGCCGATGAGGGAAAGTTGGAATGCACTTGTCGTAGAACTGTCCTCCGATTTGTTAGAAATTTTATGATGTACATACGATGCACTGGAATTGATATACATACATAATACATGTAGCTTTGTCACAGAATAAATAATAGTACTAACGTAGCTTTACATAAAAGGGTAGTGATGATTATGTTGGGATTCATTCTCAAAACTAAAAAGTAATTTTTGTTAGGAATAAATAATTATAGTTCTTCTTTTACGTGTTTATAAAAAGTTAATGTTTATATGATTTATAAAAATATTTTAGGAGACAGAGTGAAAAGTACAATCCAACATTTTCTAACATTGTTTATATTAAATCGTCGCCGTCAGTGAGTGTGTCGCGTGGTCATCGACCAATTCTAATAATTGCTTAACGATATGTTTCAGTTACACAGCCGTTCTTGTTTGCGTCGCCGCTTAACGAACGTTCTCTTATCCTTTATTTTAGATCATTTTGTTGTATTTAGTTTGAAATTGTGGTAGCATTGAAGAACAACTTCAGTATAATAGTTTTGATATCGAAAACAAATTTGTTCTCGAAGTGCGTATAACATATCAAGTTAATACCTCGAACATGTAGTCTTACCTTCACGTAGGACCGTGCCCGGCTCGCGTGCGTCACGGTTCATTGCCTTAAGTACAGAAAGAGATCCTAATATGGCGTACAGAGCAAGCACAGGATCGCCTTGCGCCAACGCATGTAGCCGCCATTTTCATCTATCCGTCTGTCACGGGTGTACACGTCAACTGAAACGACTTTCGGTTCCAAATTTGAAATAATACCACATTTAAAAAGACCTCAACTGATTCGAAAGACTGATGACGTAGTAACAACATTCAAAGACTAAAATATCATTACCAAAAGAAACTGAAACTGAAGTAATTGCCAAATATGTGCTGCTCGTGGCTCCGCTGCCGGAAACGAGTCGCCGACTCGGCCGAATGCAATTCGCCTACGCGAGAGGCGTTTGAGAAAGTGGAAACACCCGCCGAAAAGGCCCAAGAAGATATCCAAGATGAAAAAAAGTCACGTAAGACTTGACGAACAGCTGTTTGATGCACATTGTACTATAGAATTGTTTGGCTTTTGCACTTTTTGATTTGCATTCTAGCAAATGTTGAAATATTGATACTAATGCCTAATGTATAAATATGTTACTCTGGATGACGAAGCGTCTTATTATGTATACTTTAGACAATTTAATTGTAAGCTTTTGGCATGACGAGTAAAAGTAGTGTTAAATTTAGTGTTGAAACGATTATCATTTATCACTTAGATTTTATGATTTCGATTACGATTACGATAATTGCGCTTAATTATCGACGATTGCGGTTATTGATGTTTTTAAATAAAACGTTCTATTATCGTTAAAGGAACATAATATTTTTCACTATAAACAAATGAAAATAATGTTGGCTGAGGAATTAATAATCAAATTTAAGGAATTTTACATTCTTCTTAAAAAAATTATCACATTTCTAGCTTTTCAGGCTTCAATCAGTTCCTTCTTTCAGTTTGAATACATCCAGCAATTAAAAATAACTTCTCGGACAATGGTTCAATTGAAAGATTTTTTTGCTATACATTAACAATTGGAATAAATTCCTTTAAAAACATGAAAAATGTCTGTGTAAATTAATCGTAATCGAAATCGTTTCACCACTACTTTATTTAATCGACCGAAATTAAATACATATGTTTCGCGATTGCAGCGCCGTCGCGTGTGACGCGCAACAACCAGATGCGAGTGTCGAATGCCGGCGGCTACACGAACGGGCACGGCGGCGACACGACCGGACGGCGCGGCACAGAGAATGTGCCGCCGCCACAGCCGCAGCCGCAGCCACAGCCACAGCTGCAGCCTCCCACCAATGCGCGGGTCACACAGCAGGTGAGTTACTGTGAGACGTTTTGCTGCTGACAAGCCTCCAATCATTCCATTACTGAGCAGAGTCCGCTACGATGCTTCAGCGGACTTTATAAATCCTCGATATATATTCAATCACGTGCAGATTTTGTAGGCATCATGAACACACGTTCATGTTTATATTACAATTCACACCTCATCTAACGCTCTCTAAAAGTCAAAAACTACTACCAACTAGTATCAGTTCGAAATTTATCGTTTCGAAAATTTATCGAAAGAAAAAGGACACGAGTTCAGTCTCAGGACGGATGATAGTAAAAAATTAATCTTATTTGTAGTTTTCCGTTAAGTCTAATATATTTAATTTTCTGATAAAAGAAAGCTAGTAATCGGATACAATAAATGTTTTCTTGCTCTCCTGTAATTTAAAAGAAATTGAGGTTCGCCTTTTTGCGACGTCAACGACGAATTGTATGTAATGATGTTTCCTGGCCGATTTAGACCACCGCGTTATATTTTGAAAGCTGTAGGCAGTTATCAATATAATATAGTGCCACGGTACAGTTATACACGAAAACAAAGACTTACATACAAAACAAATGTCAATTACAATTTACTAGGTGATAGGACTCATTTTTTTTTTCTTTTTGGGATGATACCACTCTTTTTTATATCGTTTCATTTACTGCTTTGCTTCGTTCTGAACGATATGAGGAGTCAATTTAATAATTACAGCCCGGGAGGCATTCAATTCAATCTTAATCCAGATTCATTACCAACGCATTTGTAGATTTCCTTGTTTGAATTTGGCTGTAGATGTACAAGTGCTACAGTAGCCACAGTTTTATTAACCAAAAATCTAAATTGTTATATTGATGTGACACCGTTCTTCCTTCTATTCCGATTGTGATCATGTGTACAAGTTGTTTTATGTGTCGAAATATATTTGGTGTATTAGAGCAAGAACCAACATTATAATATAAACTTCAGTTCCAATATCTGTCACATAGTCCTTCGAGCCGGACGAGACCATTAAATACTTAAAATAACCCAAGTTATTTATCTACAAGACTTATATATAGAAAAAGTAGTTTATTTTAAAATATACCACATACATGTGGCATGTGGGTGGATTGATTGACAAGAAAGTGTGAAAAATAATTATTTTCGACCTCACAGCCATGATAGTTATATCAAATTTATACAGTTACCGAACATTGGCTATGCAAAGGATTTGCTAAAGGTGAACTAAATGATACTAATACTATACCTACATAAAAATAATTTTCACAATTGATTATATATATTTCAATTAATTTAAAACTCCTGACGTTTCGAATGATTTGCGTCATGAAGTCATCAGTCGTTTAATTCATGTTTGTAAAATACCTTTAAAATACATGAAACCTAGTACTTGGCAACTTGTTTGTAAAAAAAACGTACATTTTTACATCACATATACCTAAACTCCACCTTATCCCTTCCCTCTTCCCACTCCACGTCCACTTCCTTGCAGACGCCAGCGTCGGGCGGTCGTTCACGAGCTGTCACCACTCCCAGCGCCGCGTCTGTGCTACAAAGTCTGCCGCAGGGACCTCAGCCTCCTTCAGCCTCGCAAGGACAAAGACGGATTCAAAATATTAAAGAGGTTCCTTCCTTGTGCCAGATCCTCACATCCTTTCAATAATTGTTATCAGAAAACCATAATGATTATTAAGTCCTTTAATTAGCTTTAAAATTGAATACCGTGACATGATCACGGGTCATCTGCATTAAATCGAGAACTATGCATCCCCATCAGTTGTCGATTATTCGAAATGTATTTTCTCGATTCACTGCTGAAAAAGCCTTCTTCACGTGCCAATTGGCCTGCTAATTTATAATATTTGGCAATACTCACTACGCTAAGCAGAGACGGTTTGGTGAGTGCAGAATCAAAACCCTCGCACTGGTAATGCTCCTAATCATCACTCGTATGTTTACTCTAGGTTTTGATTCACATAAGGTGTAACAACTACTTGGATATTTAGTAAGCCGATAAATACAGATGGTCCAGAGATATTGTCACCAGAAATATTTGCCAGGATAAAGGCATAACATTTTTGAACGTGGTAGTGCCACCCTGCAGCTATATTATGGTTGTAGCACGAATGGGTCGGCTCGACCGGGGTAGGACCACGTTCACACAGAATACCAGTGTAAAATAGCTGCTAAATACTGCTGTTTCGCATAGTGGTGTAGAGAGCTGGAGATCCTGTTTAATGGAAACGAGGCATTCCATCTTATTTCTCAGTGGTGGCAACATATCTGCATTTTGATTCTTAATCGAGGATAAATGTGGATGTCTATGGGCTACAGCATCCACTTAACATCAGGTGCACTGTGTGCTAATCTATCACCTTAATTCTATAAAAAGTATACTGGTTGTGTGGTGCGATGATTGGAAGGCGTTAGTGTCACAAGTGGGCAGACATGATGACGATATCGGCTGTACGTGTTGCAGTTCGGCGTGGGCGGGGGCGGCGGCGGCGGCGTGGGCGTGGTGACGCGCACGGCGGCGACGGCCAGCGCGGCGTCCGTGCCGCACGCCGTGGCGTCGGGCGCCGTGCGCAGGTCCAACGTCGTCAAGGAGGTGGAGCGCCTCAAGGAGAACCGCGAGAAGCGGCGCCAGCGCCAGGCTGAGCTCAAGGAGGAGAAGGTAACTATCGCACACGTTATTTTTTCTTTTAGAGCCAACGACTTCTATGTACCGACCGAGACCGGTAATACAACAAAAACTAAAACTGCGTCTAATAAAGTTAAACTTTAAATATAACTACATTGAGTAACACTATTTTGCGTTTAATTTTATGATTTGCAACAGCCATGATCGATCACGGGGGGGGGGGGGGTTGTTTCTCAGGTGATTGAGGTCCCGATATCAAAGTTAACGCGGAGTACCTTCACCTTTTTAATTATGGCTTTTACTCCGACCTAACGCAGAATAAGTTTACTGTGTCTTCAAGTCTAGCCAGTGGCATGCTTGGGTTTAGTTTTAATTGTATTAATTACAGAATCTCAAGCAAGTACTACCCAACTTCCTTCTCTATTATAATTAATAATTAGTATGTTTTTTTTTAATTTCAATAGCTTTTTTCGCCTTGGAGCCTTGATATTTCACGCCAGCTATATGTACAACTTACGTTGACAAAGTGAGCACATAAATAACAAAAGCGTTTTATTAGTCACATTAAACAAAATTAGTATTAAATTGTCGAAAACAACGTTCGCAGTTTACAAAGCAAATAATTAGTGTCCTCCGTCGGCTCACAGTCGACTATAGAAGTTACGAAAATTTGATCGTAACTTAGTGCGCCATAATGTATTAGTACCAAGGTGCTAATCTGGTACTACATGTCGTCTTTGCTAAAATGTAGCAAATTTTCATTATAATGTGATAATATTTTAACAATGATGAGTATATGAATACTTAGTTTTACCGGTTGTATGTGCTGCAGGAGGCGCTGATGAACATGGACCCGGGCAACCCGAACTGGGAGTTCCTAGCGATGATCCGCGAGTACCAGAGTAGCATCGAGTTCCGGCCGCTGGTGGGCAGCGAGCCGGTGGAGGACCACCAGATCACCGTCTGCGTGCGCAAGCGCCCGCTCAACAAGAAGGAGATCGCCAAGAAGGAGGTTAGCAGCTTATTGAAAGAAACAAAGAAAGAAGATATTTATTTATTGCTGAAACTTGAAGAACATAAAAAAAAGATGTTTACCTCAATATTAAAAAAATGGATAGCAGCAACAAAAGCGACCAGCGACTAAGCATAATGCTACAGTAACCGAGTTACCGCAGCGCTGAAATTCTGTCGGAGCCACATTGTAACGTTTTGTTTACTAGCTTTTTATTTTTCTTTTTCCTTTCTTTTTTTTTAAACTTCACTTTTACTTTACCACACTAATTTCTTCTGTATCGTGTAGGCAATACCATATACATAAATTTCACAAGGGTAAACATCCAGACCCAGAACATTTACAAATACTTGTTACCGTACGGGATACGAACCCGTGGCCGTGCAACTCATTGCTGAACCACCGCGCCACGGTCTAGCTCTACGTGATTGGGCTCATTTTCCGCCTAAAAGTCCGTCTGGGTAGGTACCGGCTTCTCATATTTGACGGCTCCGTGGCGCAGTGGCTTAGCAATGAGTTGCTGCGCTGGGGGGCGCGGGTTCGAATCCCGCACGGAACAAGTATTTGTATGGCCTACAAATGATTGTTCCGGGTCTGGATGTTTGTCCTTGTGAAATTTGTGTTTGTAAACTGCCTCCACGATACAGGAGAAAATCCTAGTGTGGGGGTAACGTTTTTTAAAAAACAATAAACAATAAAACAATATATTTCTGCTGCTGCCAAGCCGCCGTGCGTGCACAGCTGTGTTCCACAGGCTGTGAGTCATTCCATTTTAGTCTGCAGATGTGACTGCTATTTGTACTTTGTCTGAAGTTGATTGTAGGTGTCCATAAGCTGCAATAGCCACTTGGTACTAACAATACACATGGTTGAGCTAACGTCAGCTACACCCAGGAAAGACCAAGCTTTCACAGAATACCAGCGTGAAATAGCAGCCTAATGCTACTGTGTTTCGTATGGTGAGAGTAGAGAACAGAAACCCCTTTTCACTGGTAATGAGGCATTCCATCTTATTCCTCAGGGATGACAACGCATACTATATTTCGATTCTTAATCGAGGATAAATGTCTATGGGACAAATCATACACATACCATTAGGTGGACTGTGTGCTCGTTTGTCACGCTTAGTCTGTATAAAAAAGTAGACTAAATGCGCGTTTGATACTTAGATTTTATAAAAAAAGAATTTAAAAACTGGTTTTGTTGTGATATTTTGTAATAAATCCGCGCATTTTCTCGATTTTAGAACCGCTTGCCTAGCTAACCTAGATTATGTTGTTAATAAAATAGGAACATATATTTTATATTCATGTTTTCAGGTGGACGTAATCAGTGTTCCGACAAAGGACCAGATGATAGTTCACGAGCCTAAAAACAAAGTGGACCTAACGAAATACCTCGAGAACCAGAAATTCCGATTCGACTACGCCTTCGACGACTCGTGCACGAATGAAGTTGTTTATAAGTGAGTGCAGTATTTCCTATAATTTTCTTAATTGTAAATAATAGCGGTACAGCGTTTTTTATTTGTTTTTCATTAAAAAAAAATACCATTAACCTCTTACGTTAAGCTTAAATGCTTGTGTTAGAAATGACTCACGACAGTAGTCGCATGGTAGATTCTAACTCACGACTTTTTACCTTTCGTAGTCCGTACCTACCCTTAACCATTAAAGTTCAATCGCTCGTATGTCGTATTGCCGTGTACTTACGTGTTATACGAGTGTATGTTTGTGTATGATGTCTGTTTTGAATTTGATATTTATATTTAATATACATCTTTATCAGTTTATAAAAGTTCAATACTGGACGTGAGCCTCTATAGTTATAGGGATGTTTGCCATACTAAACATGCTTGGCAGAGGGATGGACGTTGACAGTACTAGACGTGAGTACCTTTAACTCTGCTGCCCACCACCATTATGAGTATTTTGCATTTTTCTGGTATTTCCCATGAAGAGGATCTATCACCCCATAGCGTCCATATAATAAATATGTGGAAAAATAGTGTGTTCACAATTCACGCAAAATGTACGTATGTAGGTAGTAATGACCGTGTATAACCTTTAGGCAACTTTTTATCCGCTTATGGAAGAGTAAAAAAAAGGCTTTTTTTTTTAAGTTTATTGCCATTATGGCTGCTGATGGTTCTATTTGTTCTAAAGAGGACTTAGCTGTTCGAATAATAAATCTATAGAAATGGGTGTGTGTGAAATTGAATGTCATCACGCCGCCAACAAGAAAGGGCAGAATATCGTCTGCCGGGCCAGCTAGTTTTTTAATATAACTTTTCCTATTTCTTCCCATGGGTAAAAGGCGACTAAGGAAAATGATACAAAGATTTTGCTTCCGACTGTAGCATAACCTATCACGTATACGTCAGACGTCAAATTAACCGAAGACGAGGAGTAGCGTAAACTGCGGGGCGAATCGTACCGGAGCCAATCCGCATATCAGTCTCAGAACATTTTTATCATTTTGCTAAAATCGTGATGAAACAGATACACGGCCAAGCCGCTGGTGCAGACGATCTTCGAGGGCGGCATGGCCACGTGCTTCGCGTACGGACAGACCGGCTCCGGCAAGACGCACACCATGGGTGGAGACTTCCAGGTCATCATTTGTTTTATTTTTTTGGACTTAACTTCTCTGAAACCATTGCAATATTTTGTTTTACAAAACCACTACCAAGTATCAACAATGATTTTAATCATTTTAAAAATAATACTATTTAAACATGTTTGTCTTTTACGAAAAATATAATAATAAAAATATAATAATATATGGTTTGGTCATGTAGAAAGAATGAACGAGGAAAGAGTGACAAAGCAAATTTATGTTGCAGAAGTGAACGGCAGGGTCGGGAAGGGACGCCCTAGACGAAGGTTTATCGACCAAATCAACGATACATTGAAAATGGGCCAGATTAGGAGTACCCTTAACCGACGAGCGTGTATGCGTAGATATATGGATGTAAAAGAGGCGAGAGAGGTGTGTCAGGATCGCGCCAAATGGAAGTCCGTAGTCCCTGCCTACCCCTCTGGGTGACAGGCGTGAGTGTTTGTGTATGTATGTATGAAAAATATAAGTCGTTTTACGTTGTAAGTGAATTACTATCTATAAATAATATAAATACTGAAAAACAGGCACAAATTAGTAATACTATAATAGTCACTTATACTCCAGAGACATTAATTTATTAATTGGGCAATGTATTTGCTTTTTTGTTTGAATGCTTTTAAAACGAAATTCCATGTTTGTCTACAGGAAGGAAAAGTATAAAAAATGTATGAAATAAATATTGAAGTAGTTGCTCTATCTACCAAACTATTAGCCGTTCGGTTTTTTGGCTGGTTCGTCCCAGAATAAAGTTATTTTCCGAACTTATGGTAAATTATACTTAAAATGAGTCAATAAGTTTATTACTTATTGACTCATTTTAAGTATAATTTACCCTGTCATACAGGGAATCCTAGTATGGACACCAGTCTCTCACAAATTGATTGTAGTATACTAATATTAAGTTGTATGTTTATGTTAATTACTAAATTTGTGAGAGAAAAGAATAAACTTTATTATTATTATTATTGGGGTTATCTATAAAGTTTTCTCATCTGGTTGGGCTGTTTAAATATATAATTATAAACGAAATATATAAACATACATAAATATCAATAAAATAGTATAAATACATAAAAAATACATAAATATATAAAAAAAAACCCAACCAGATGGAAGCCCTCGGCAGGGGAGACCAAACGGCCGAGGGTTAGGGGGAAAGGGAAAGAAACCGGCGGACGATGCGGGCGGTATCGAGGAGCACCGCCTTCTGCATTTGAGCTTGGAGCGGTCCGTCACGGAGTCCCAGTCGCCTCAGATGACCCGAGAGGCTAACTGGGATTAACCCGTTCGCAGAAACGACCACAGGAATTATTATTATTATTATTATTATTATTACTTAAAATCTATATTGAATAAAGAAATATTTATATTTATTATGAGTGTAAAAAGTGACAAATTTTTGCTATGCTGATGTACTATGTTAATGATAATTTGACTATTGAGGTATGTGTGACCAAAAGAAAAATTTCACTTTGAAATAATGTGGGAATAATTTAAAAATGTTTACAGGGCAAGACTCAAGACTGCAAAAAAGGCATTTACGCAATGGCGGCGCGGGACGTGTTCACTTACCTCAAGTCGCCCAAGTACAAGCCGCTCAACCTCATCGTGTCCGCCTCCTTCTTCGAGATCTATTCCGGGAAGGTATGTCCAAAAGTACAAGACACAGTTCTATTCCGATGTTGTTACTGCCCCGCAATCGGCAATTGGATAATCAACGATCGCGGGCTAAATCACGCTAACGAAGTTTCACAATTTAATCATCACAAGAAACATCGATCGCTCTTTACGACTGTAGCGTTGGTGGATATTTTTCCCTTTATGATCGACGACCAAATCAGCAAATAATTATTATGTGTTGAAATAAGTTAATAAAGTCTCTTAAAATATTGTCTATGTCAGATGGTCGTCTTTATTGTCAGTAGGCGTTGTAGATTTTTTTTTATAGAAGAGGGGGTAAACGAGCATGCGGCTTACCGGATGGTAAGTGACTACCATCGCCCATGAACAACCGCAATACCAGGGGAATTGCGTTGGCGGCCTTTTAGAAAGGTTTAAGCTCTTTTCTTGAAGGTCCCTAAGTCGTATCGGTCCGGAAAAATCGCCGGTGGTAAACAATTCCACAGAGAAGTTGTACGAGGAAGAAAACTCCTAGTAAAACGCACAGTAGTGGACAGCCAAGCATCCAGATGGTGAGGATGGTATCGTGAATTTAGACGCGATGTACGTTCGTGAAATTTGGCGGCTGGAATTAATCCGAACAATTCCTTAGAGCACTCCTCGTGGTAGATTCGATAGAAAATGCAAAGGGAAACATCCCTACGCAGTGCCAGTGTATCGAGCCAATCAGAAAGAACTCGATCGTCGACTATTCGAACCGCTCTGCGCTGGATGCGGATTTGTAGGCGGAATACCATTACACAGAATCTTCTTTGTGTGATGAATTCCGTAGAGATCAATAAGCTGAAGACCGACCGATAGCTTGTAGAATCCAACAACCATTGCGATACAAAAGTAAGGTCCAGTTTTTTTTCTCTTTGTGAAGCTGAGCTCATAAAAGTCTACTGCTGGAATTGGTCCTCTCCTGTTATTTTAGTATACTGTAGGTTCCTGGGTATACTCTAATAAAATATATTAAAACCTTTTACAATTTGTATTTTCGATTAAACAATTACATTGAAATATATTATGTAATTAGTTTTAACTGCTAACGTATAGGTGTAAACCGTGGTAATGAACAAGTGCTTTAGTCCGTTAGCGCTAAGAAAGTAGTGATTCATCAGTGCAACTGCACGGTAAAAGTGTATGCACAGTAGAGTAAAAATTCAAACAATTAATATTTTAAAAGATAAAGTTTAATAGATAAAAATCACAAATTAAATTCAAGTCATTATGTATGGTGCCATGGTATGGTGGCAGTCGGAGAATTTTAATGCTCTACTTCATCTACTAAATGTTTATTATATTGTGGAGCGATTTCAAGAACTTTCAATAGTATTTCCATTTTTAAATACACTGCACTTTAGCCACTGTGAACTTGACTTTCTAATTTTAGGCAATTTGGTTGGTCGTGGCTAGCCCTGCGGACAACGATGAGTCACTATTTTCTTAACGCGAACGAAATATAGGGATTTTTCCCACAGGATTTTTTAATGCTTAGTTTCACTCGTAGTTGATAGATGGCGCTTTACCTTAACTATTATGCCTGGCAGCTTTGACGCTGCTAACTATCGTCGATCTTGGTATTTTAAATCTAGCGTAAGTGAGATAGCTTACCACCATCTCTTGGATGCTATAAAAACTTTTTAGTATATCCCATAGTCACCTTTTACGACACCTATTACGAGAAGAAATGGGCTGATGGATAATCTTGTGACTCCACTACACTGCAAGTATAATGTTCTGAGTAAGTAACTAAGTATAACTACTAATGTTTAGTAGTAAAAGTAGTATAAAGTTGAGTAAAAATAAAAAGTAATAAATCTCAACGTCTGTGCTCTTTGCAGGTCTTCGACTTGTTGGCGGACAAGGCGAAGTTACGCGTACTGGAGGATGGTAAACAGCAAGTGCAGATCGTGGGGCTAACGGAGAAGGTGGTCGACAACGTGGACGAGGTGTTGCGTCTCATACAGCACGGCAACGCGGCGCGGACTTCTGGACAGGTGTGTGCTCTCTCAGTTCTATTATAAAATTGAAGTGAATAGCGAACTCACAGTCCGCCTGATGCCAAGTAGTTACCGCAGTCCGTGGACAACAGCTACCTACTTCAGATAAAGAAGGCTACAGGTGCATTGCCACATATGAGGGCTAACATTGAATGCCTTGCAAGCTGTAATATATTGGTTTTCTGTTTTCTTCACACTGCTATTTGGATGCTATGTCAGACTACTAGGCCGAAGAAGTCCTATGAACACCTAGTGAATGATAGTATACATCGGATCATTAATCTGAGGTGGCATTAGATGTTCGGAAGTTTAAGAGAATTTTAAAATAATGCAATTTTAATGTGGTCTTGGACGATTATATTAATCACACAACAGTTAAGAGGATAGTAAAACATAGAAAGGCCAAAGAATCTGTTTAAAATTAACGTAATCTACTGACGTAATTACTACGAGTACGTTGTTTAATTTGTTGGTCCGAAAGAAGGAAAGAAAGGTTCTCGAGATCCAAAATGTAGAGCGGTCCCCCACTAGATGGAGTGACGACTTGGTGAGATAATAAAGCGATGATTGCAGGTGGCTCAGGTCCGTGTTTTATAGTGTTCTTTAGAGAAGATATATGCTGAATAGTGGACTTCTGAAAGGCTGTAATATTTTTTTCTAAACCAGTATTATAACTTAATAATTTTCAATAACTATTGGTTCGGTGTAAGAATATCCATTACCTCATATCGTACCGTGGGTGTTGTAAGCGGCGAAGCAAGGAAAACAAGTCAGGATATGGGTAGCAGCGTTTTTCTAATAACGGCTAAAAATAAAAATAAACGGTTTTCAATCCGCATGCCAAGTGTGGCAACTATGGCAAATGAAAGCCCTATGAGGTAATCTATGGGGGTGGTCTATGTTCAGCAGTGGACTTTAATATTTGTTCTGTTTCGAGTTCACCAAATTTGGCGGTATGCCAGGGTTGCGGGGGACGTGTCAAATGCGCTGTGATTGATTGAACAGGTTTGAGACGTTGATCGATAAATTTAGGATTTATTGACTATTGATAAATAAATATATTGATCAATTTTTATTTGATATTTATTAAAAAATAAAACAATGTATATATTTGTACATTTAATTTATAAATATATATTTCACTGATTTTTAAAATGGATAAGCTTAGTATAAAATTGTCTCACATAATTCTTAGGATCTGTCGTCCTGGATATGTAGAGTAATCTTATGTCGATGTATTTTTTTCATGACAGTCTTAGCTAAATCAATGACATGATTACAACTTTCGTGATCGAATTGGTGATTTTTTTATTTCAGGAAAAATATCCTCATTAACAAAACTGCTTAATGTTTCTGTTACAAAACGGAATTTGAATTTGAACCTATAATATATAGGTACAATAATGATACGTCACTATTTTTTATAAAATAATATGACTTCAAAAAAATAAACAAACGATGACCAAACAAATATAGACTTAAAAATCACAACACTATCGATACACGTGCTGTTCACAACACTATTGATACACGTGCTGTTGTTAGACAAAGACAACTATTGTAATTTACGTAACGAGTGAAAGGGACAATTCAAAAAGACATAAACGAGTGCTTAATTGATATCACTGCACCATTATTTACCAGTATAAGTTGAGCTCCAGTGCATTTGCAATAGGTTAACGTGATAAGAATAGAATTTACTTACCGATGAAATGTTATGCCATCTTTTTGATAACTGGATGTCTTAGCTGACTTGCCACACCATTTCACTTCACAGGAAGCCATTTGTAATGTATTTTGGATACAAAACTATTTTTAAATTGTCGAGAACTCGGACATGCCTACGGGTCACAAACTTGGTCGTCACTGATGTCGTGATTCTTAACGTCACTTCATATGCTAGCTACAGCAAGCATGTGTTGCGCGCGGTTGTGGCCCTGTATGCGAAATCTATTAGGGGGTAATCTGTGGCTGTAACGGTAACGGTACATTGAATTGTATTGTATTCTGTTGTAAAGGATAATAATAATGTGTGTAATGTAGTGTTGTGGTTGTGGTTGTGCAGACGTCGGCGAACTCGAACTCGTCGCGGTCGCACGCCGTGTTCCAGATCGTGGTGCGGTCGCCGGGCATGCACCGCGTGCACGGCAAGTTCTCGCTCATCGACCTCGCCGGCAACGAGCGCGGCGCCGACACCTCCTCCGCCAACCGCCAGACCAGTGAGTCGCTCACACCGCACGACACCACACCGACATCGACACGTGCTCTTGATAACAACACTGTTCGACTTGTTAGCGTTATAGTCCGTGTGGCTGAATTTGCTTCGGTTAATCATTTATTACGTTAAAGTCGCTACAAATTACACGCGTCTCACTGCTGCTGGACACAAGCCTACACCCATTTCCAACTCATGGTACGGTCTCCTGGTGGTCAACGGGTGCGGCGCAGACACCTCCTCCATATCAGGCAGACCAGTGAATGAAACCACGCGACGCCAGCACGACTACGACACAACACCAACACGTGCAGATGATAACTGTCCGACGTATTCTCCAGACCGAATTTCGGTTACATTGGCCAGTCTCAACGGTGACTAGTCATCTGCGTGATAGAATTATAGGGCCAAGTGTATGTGCAAACATAAGTGCACTCTTCCCTCAGTCTCACTGTCAGAGTGGACGGTAACCGACAAAACCGAAGAGAAATCAGACTCAAGACCAACAGCTTTACGTGCTTTCCGAGACACGGAGGTTGAAACACCATTAATTTTTTGACTTGGGGCTGCTACTGAACATTTCAATCAGTTATTGGGTTTTGCTTGGCAGAAAAACCTAATAAATGATTTTAGCCTAACCCAGGATACGAACCTAGGACCTCATGATCAACAATCGCGTTTACGATCACTAGACCAACAAGACACTAATATGTTAGCATTATAGTCTCTATGGCCGAACTTGTGTCTGAAGTCGAGTCTTTGCTTAACAAAGTCTCGGATTGGGGCCGACTAAATCTAGTCCAGTTCAATCCTCAGAAGACACAAGTTTGCGCGTTTACCGCTAAAAAGAACCCCTTTGTCGTATCTCCTCAGTTTCAAGGCACTCCCCTTGCTGCCTCAGCCAGTATCGGAATCCTTGGCGTCGCCATATCGAATAGCGTGCAGTTTCGTGGTCACTTGGAAGGGAAGGCCAAATTGGCCTCTAAAAAGCTTGGCGTGCTCAGCAGAGCGAGACAGTATTTCATGCCGGCACATCGCTTGCAACTTTACAAAGCGCAAGTTCGGCCCCACATGGAATACTGTTCTCATCTCTGGGCCTGGGCACCCCAGTGCCAGCTCCTTCCACTTGACCGCATCCAGCGCAGAGCGATTCGAATCGTCGACGACCGAGTTCTTTCCGATCGGCTCGATACACTGGCACTGCGTAGAGATGTTGCATCTCTTTGCGTATTTTATCGCATCTATCACGGGGAGTGCTCTGAGGAATTGTTCGGACTAATTCCAGCCGCTCAATTTCACCATCGCACGTCGCGACAAAACTCGCGTTACCATCCATACCATCTGGATGATTGGTGGTCCACCACTGTGCGATTTAGAAGAAGTTTTCTCCCTCGCACAACTTCTTTGTGGAATCAATTACCACCAGCGAATTTTCCGAACCGATACGACTTAGGAACCTTCAAGAAAAGATCTAACACCTTTCTAAAAGGCCGGCAACGCATCTGGAATTCCCCTGGTGTTGCGGTTGTTCATGGGCGGCGGTAGTCACTTATCATCAGGTGAGCCGCATGCTCGTTTGCCCCCTATTCTATAAAAAATAAATTGCTTTACCTAATCATTTATTACTTTGAAGTTGCTACAAAATACATAAAATACATAATATGTTTCACTGGTGTTGGACACAGTCCTACCTTCATTTCTGAGATAGTTGCTGTGGTATGCCGATTTTTTTAACCGTTTTTAAAATTGTAAATTTTTAAATAATTTTTTCAAGGTCTTAATAATAGGGATGGTTTTTTAATCAAAAATGTATGGAAGATTAAAAAGAAGAACGAGGAGAAAAGGAAACTATTTTTATGAGGTTGCTAAATTCCAGTACTTGACATTATCCTCTTCCATTGCAAGTAGGGTTTATCGTTATAATTTGTCAGATAGATTGACGATTAGAATTTAAGAATGTCTTGCTTTTTTTTTTCTAGTCTGGGTGTTTTACATTTGTCTTTTTTTTGTGGTGTACCATTCTCTACGAGACTGTTCTTATAGTCGTCTCTTACGACACCGATGTGACGAAATTGGGTGATAAACTATTTTACGCAGTAAAATCTCAAAAAAAACCCAAACCAACCAAATAACTGGTTTTGGCCCGAGGCGCGACCACGTGAGCAGCATCAGCCACGGAGACGTATTGTCAGCGTATGTTTGTGTAAGCGAGCGGTTGCGGCGCGTGTGCAGGGATGGAGAGCGCGGAGATCAACAAGTCGCTGCTGGCGCTGAAGGAGTGCATCCGCGCGCTGGGCATGAAGGGCAACAACCACCTGCCGTTCCGCGTGTCCAAGCTGACGCAGGTGCTGCGCGACAGCTTCATCGGCGACAAGTCGCGCACCTGCATGATCGCCATGATCTCGCCCGCCATGTCCTCCTGCGAGCACTCGCTCAACACGCTGCGATACGCCGACAGGTCACTCACTCTTTCTCTCTCTCTCTCTCTCTCTCTCTCTGGCTCTCTCGTTCTCTCTCGCTCTCTATACTATGTTTTATTTAAAGAATAAGGGAGACAAATGAGCACACAGTCCACCTGATAGTAAGTGGATGCTTTGCCTCATAGACATCTACATTTATCCTCGATTAAGGATGAAAATGATGCGTTATCACTCCTGAAAAACAAGATGGAACGCCTCATATCCATTACATAGCTACATATATATACATAACAAAAAGCTGTTATTTTACGCCGGTATTCTATGAGAGCGTTGTCCTTCCATATAACCATAATATAATAGGGTGGCTCTACCATGTATGATCTTTTTCTTTATAGAATAAAAGCGAAAATGAGATTGGCTCCTCTCACTGCTTAATCATCTCTCACTCTTGACATCTGCTGCTGTATTATTGCTTAATTATTGCTGTATTATTGTGGTTTGAAGTAGATTTTGATACATAAAAGTGGTGTCATTTTGTGTACTAAACATCTGCGCATGTGAACTATTTTTGAAACAAGTGCTCCGGTGGCAACGTAAATCTCAAAATAAGGTGCTTAAACGCCTTGAGATATTATCTAGTCATCGACCATGGCTGCTAGCTCAAACTGCTATTAAAATTTCCCAAAACTTCACAACGTGACGCGTTCCGTTTCTCGAAATAATCATGATATTATCACGCTTGATATGCCTAAATAACTACTCATCAAAACAAATATATTATATCATACATCGTTATTTGTTAAGGTTAAAATATATTGTACTTATTGAACAAGCACAACTCATATTTAAGATGAGCTTTTTAATATCAAGTTGATTTCATTTTAACAAGTCTATTGTGAAAGAGAGTAAATTACATAGATGCCGCGTGCGCGTAATTAGAGACGATTAAAAATGTTTATGGTACGTCCATATAATAAATCAATTCTCTTGTTATATTAATTCATTGTTTAAAGTATTGTGGTATTGCAGTTAGTAAGGTTTTGTTCTGTGAGGTTGAGACTGTGTGTGTGGTTAAACAGTGAACTACCTATATAAAAATGGAACAAAAAAAAAGGGCGAAAATAGGGTATTTTACACCATGTAAAAAAAAATCAAAGAATATATATTTAAGATAGATTTTGTAAAAAGTAAACGAGAAATATTGATTTCTATTTATAAAAATGCATTATAAATTTTATATTTCAATTTGAAGAATATTTCTTTTTACCTGTGCCTCAAATCTGCAAAACGATGTCCGACATATTAGATAGCGTCGTGACGTCACTAGGTCAAAGAACTAGGTTATGTGCTGTGTACTAACTAGCTAATTTCAAAATTTTTCAAGTTATCATTACGATTGTTGACTTTTATTCCGAATTTTATTGAAAAGGCATCATGGAAGACGGATTAGTAAAAGCGAGTTTATTACTTCGCTTTTAGCTCTAATGTTATAGATATTAAGTTTATCTCACCTAAGCTTATGTTATTGATAATATAAGCTTAGGTGAGAAAAACTTTTTGTTATATTTTTTTGTACAAAGTGATCTTCACAGAAGTATAGTTTAGATTTTGTAGACAATGCCTTCGGGTCTCTTCTTGCCAGTTTTAACCAAGTATTTCTCATATTTAAATCAGTTGGCACTTAAATCCATAACTTCCACGGCGTTCTTATGCTCGTATTTTTGCAATCAGGCACAACACAACAATGATATAAATGATAACTCATTATTAAACATTCAAAAGTATGTTATTGCTTTGCAAAATTGTCAAAATTCTACGACAGTGACGTCATGAGTTGAACAGTATGGCGGCTAGCATTTTTACGCGAAAATTTAAAACGATAGATTAAAAGTAATTTTTATGTCACTATTCGGTTTTAAAAAAATTATATAAAAATTATAGTGGTTCATTATCACTCTAGGATTCATTTAAAACACTTTTTGAAAATGGGTGTAATACCCTATTGGAGTGCTAAAGAAAATGTTAGTGACACATTGAAATTTATTTTATTAGTAGCTAGTTGTTACGCTTTGTATAATCCTTATTTCGACTAAAGTGAATGTTCTTATTAATATAGGAAATATTACGTACAATCATTGCTCAATCGGCACATATTATAGAGAATAATGCCGATTGCGTATGAATAAACCTTATATCTTTGGTCTATTTAGTTAAACATAATTGTATTTACAATGTTTAGTTTGATTTTGATCTATGTCATGAAATAATTTTTTTTTAATTGTTTGAGCGTAACCGACTAACTAACAGTTCACTTGATGTTAAGTGAGGTACAAGGCATCCTCGTGAGTTTATGACTCTCCTCAATGAGATCTCTACTCAGTAAATTTCAAGGGTGGGCAACGAGTTAGTTGGCAGTGCCAATCTTTGCTCCTCTCCAACTATGCAAATACAGTTTGCAGCACATGGACACTTCAAAAAAATGCCACAGATACTTTGGAACCCTTAAGGACTATGGTGGAATATCTCACATGACATTTTACTGGCTCACTTATCTTTTAAGTTGCTAATTCAGCAAAGAGGTTTGCACGAGTTATGTAAAGTAAAATGTATGCTTTTGGACCGTATAAGTGTATTGTACCGTGTAATGTAAGTGTGCTTACTGCATGGGCAACTATCCAAATGAATTTCAAGGCGCTGGAGTTGATGCCGGAAGGTTTCGCACCCTAACCTGCTCGCGAGTAGGATAGTGCAACCCCGTGAAATTTACAGCTAGCGCTTAGTCTCTTCGCTAGTACGTTTGCTGAGTACGTATGAATAAACGACGAATGTTTGTTTGTACGTGTGTAGGGTGAAGGAGCTGGGCACGTCTGAGGGCAGTCGCGGGCGAGGCGAGTCGCCGCCCGCCGACCGCGACGTCGACGTGGACATGGAGCCGCCCGGCCACGAGCTGGCGCACCTGCGCTCGCTCAACGTACGTACCGCGTACCGCACCGTGCGCCACGTGCTATATCTACCGCATACACACGCCACGCCACACCGCACCACATCGCACCACATCGCACCACATCGCACCACATTGCACCACATCGCATCACACCGCATCACACCGTGTCACACCGTATCACACCTCATCACACCGCATCATACCACAACACACCACCATTACATTACATCACATTACACCACAACACACCACATCGAACCGAATCACATCGCACCACACCATACCACATGGCATCTCACCACACCACATTGCATCTCACCACACCACATTACATCTCACCACACCACATCCCACCTCTTCATACCACATTACATCATACCACACCACACGACACCATACGACACCACACCACACCACACCACACTACACCGCATCACAACTGCACCGCATCACTCCGTACCACAGCGCATCACACCACATCACTCCGTACCACAGCGCATCACACCACATCACTCCGTACCACAGCGCATCACACCACATCACTCCGTACCACAGCGCATCACACCACATCACTCCGTACCACAGCGCATCACACCATATCACTCCGTACCACAGCGCATCACACCACATCACTCCGTACCACAGCGCATCACACCACATCACTCCGTACCACAGCGCATCACACCACATCACTCCGTACCACAGCGCATCACACCACATCACTCCGTACCACAGCGCGTCACACCACATCACTCCGTACCACAGCGCATCACACCACATCACTCCGTACCACAGCGCATCACACCACATCACTCCGTACCACAGCGCATCACACCACATCACTCCGTACCACAGCGCATCACACCACATCACTCTGTCACACAGCGCATCACACCACATCACTCTGTCACACAGCGCATCACACCGCACTAACACCGCACCACAACGCACCACACCGCACCACACCGCACTATATCACACCACATCACATCACACCACACCACATCACATCACACCACATCACATCACACCACATCACATCACATCACATCACACCACATCACACCACACCACATCACACCACACCAGACCACATCACGAGCTGGCGCACCTCTGCTAGCTCAACGTAACGTAACATTCTAGACTCATAAAATTATTCAGTTTATTCTAATTACTGGGTAAGTATTAAAATATTTTCGAAAATAAAATAAAGTCAAGTTCATTCGTTTTATCATAACAAGATTTGCAATACCGCATTGCACAATTAGGCATAATTATGTTCTTCGAAAATATTTTTCTTTTACCCAAATTTTTGCCTCATGAATGCAACTTGTCACGTGAGCATAACAAACTATACTGAGTGACTTGTTGCCTCTAGGCAATAAGTAGTAGATTAAGATTTTGAACGTTTTGTCCCGTCTATCGCTCGTATATATTTGAATCTTTGTATGGCCTAGCCGTGGTCCTTCACTGCTGGCCGTATGAGGAAGCTCAAGGTCGCTCACCGAGCTATAGATAGGGCTATATCCGCAGTAGAACCAGATTAACCCATATAACCCAACGGATTAGTTAGCTGAAGTGGCATTGGACTGGCCATATAGCTTGAAGAACCGACAGCCGAAACCGACAGCCGATGGGGAAGCAAGGTTCTCGAATGGCAGCCTCGTATCGGTAGACGAAGTGAACCCTCCCCTTCTAGATGGAGTGATGACCTGGTTGGACATGACTGTAAAATGATGATGACGATGATGGCCTAGACTTAAATTTTGGCATTGTGGAGTTTGAATTTAAGCTCTAAATTATCAATGTATACCGATTTTAATGTTAAATGACTACCAAATAATTGAATTTACTACCATGTACAACTTATCCTTCTTCATTTGCCTGTATAAGAATCTAAAGATGGACTCTGTCGTATATTACGATGTCGGCTAAATGGTTTGATGAATTCAATTACGTCGCCAGTACACGGCTAACGATTATTAATTTCGTTTTGATATATTGTCATAGAATAATGATGACAAACAAGCGCACAGTCCACCTGATGGTAAGTGGATGCTGTGACCCATCGACATGTACATTTATCCTCGATTAAGAATCAAAATGCAAATGCTTTGTCACCCCTGAGGACTAATGGCACGTTACCAGTAAAAAGGATCTCCGGTTCTCTACACTCACCATACAAAACACATATTAATTTTCTATTTACCTTAATGTTACAGGAGGGTGACATGTCTGCAGAGATGTACACCTTCCACGAGGCGATTGACGAACTGCAGCGTACAGAGGAAGAAGTGCTGGACAACCACAAGGCGATCTGTGACTACATGCAGCACGCGTTACAGCGATGCACCCAACTACTTGCCATCACACGCGACGTCGACTACGACCAGGACTGTGAGCGCCATTTCTGATTCTTTTTGTTTTTTTATTATTATTTTTTATTATTAAACATTTTAGTTGTTCACTTAATCAAAGGTGCATAGTTAGCGACAAATAATTTGAGCGCTAAGTGGTCAATTTTTCGATTTATTCGTGAGGGTGATAGCGATGGATCGTCGACGTATTTGTCGTTAAAAAAACTAGACCGTTCATTCTCGTTCATCGACTAGTTAATTTTGTCGACTAGTTTAAGCGTCTACTTGGTTTTGCAGACATTTAAATTTAAACTCCTCGACAACATCTATGGCTCGACATAGTCGACATACGTAGATCGTAGACTAGTGTAACGACATGATTAATACATCAGTCGTCTATTATAAAGTCGTTCTTTTCTTTTGTACACGCGATGATACTATGACAGCATCTTTTTCTTTAGCTAACACAATAACAAACTGCTATTTATACTCTTACGCTGTCTACAATTAGAGTTCTGGTTGCGCAATTATGTCATTTCAACGAACATAATATGAACTAATTTTATCCGACCACGTTCTCGCGTCCGTCGTCGCGTTGATGAACGTTATGGAGTGAATTTACCCGTCTACGGATTCGAATAGTCCATTGATTGTTCGTAAACCGTCTATTCGTTTACAGTACGTCGACCGTCGAATTTAACTAGTTCGTCCATTCAACGCCCATCGCTACAGGGTGATAAACGATGATTGGCAAATAATTAGTTCGTCTTGACTTTGCATCCTTTGTTAAGTTTTGATTTGCACGCTTCTGTATCAAAACGAAAACTTATAAAAATCGCCTAGCGCTCAAATTATTTGTCTGGGGCTATAGTCTAATGATGTAGATAAAACAATTAGCGAGGTACAATCGAGTTCATTAAATATATGAGCACGGGCAGGTGTCCGATATATGGTAACGCTCTGCAATCTTTATACAGCTTGTTGATCAAGTTTACTGAAGCTTACGATGTCGATTTGAGAGTTGATTAGAAATAAATCCTCAAGTAAATTTGATGAACTGACAACGTCGTATTATCGTTTTCACATTACATGGCCATAGACTTTTTTTGTTTCAACAAGGCCTTCAGCCAAAGAATACATCAAACGCTGTAATACAGTGACCAAAGTAATAAACATGTTAACTTTCTTTACAATATGTTGCTGCATCAAATAGTGAAGATTCTGAGAGATTTTGACGACAACGTGACTATATACAGTCTGTGACGATATTTTCTCAAGCCTATAAAGTAGGCACATATCTTGAGAGGTATATTATTATGTATTGATGTATGGGGGTTTTTGTTTTGTTCACTTTACGTGTGAAATGCATACATACATAAACACTCATGCCTATTACCAGAGAGTAGACAGAGAATACTGACTTCGACTTGCACAATCGTCACACCTGTTTCGCCTCTTTTACTTCCATATATCTACGTATCCATGTTCGTCGGTTGATGCTACTCTTATGTATCAAAATTCATTTTAAACTTTAAATGAACAAAAATGCAGTAGCAAGGATTTTTGGGTCTGGAAAAACATTCTCTATAGTATTGACTTTTCTATGATAGATAATATTTTCATGAAGTCTTCTCTGTTCAGATATTTTCAAATTTCATTATTGAGAAATATCTTTCAGGGGGTGGGGCAGAATTTTGTTAAATGGAGGAGGCGCATGATCCACAATCTTTATACAATATTGCAATATGAATAATGTTAGATCCTTGCCCTTACTACATAATATAGTTAAGAACTCTACTGTACAAATATAATCTGCACATGTAACATATCTTCTATATGTAGTTATTGTGTATGTTGTAATGTGACATTTTTATACAAGGCATGAGTAAGTTAGAGGGCATGTGTGCATATATGTATAAAGCATGCGTGCATGTGGCAGGGCTGTCGCACTGGCGCAAGCGGTCCCGCGGGCTTCACAGCACGCCCAGCCCACGCGTGCGCAGGAACATAGGTTCGATCCCGTCGCAATTGCACTAAATAAACCGCCCTCATCGCTTCTGCCAATGCCATAGCTCACACCACATATAATGACGTACTAAGAGTTTTTTTTTTTGTGCATAATAGTCTTTCGGAAATACATTGACGGTGACAGTGTCTTGCCTGATAAAGTTGGAGGACATCGACTATTTCAACATTTTTTTTTCTAGTCTTCAGACCTTTTATTTTCACAATGTTCTTACTATATTGGTTCGTATTGCTATTTAAAATTTTCGATATTAGTACCATCAAGATCTTAAACGTACAGATTTACTATGTGCAAGCTTTGAAAGTTGTAAAAACTCTGCTTCAGGGTCATTTGAAACGATTTAGTATTCTTCTTACCATCATATCACAGCGAATTAGTAGGCGACATCGAGGAATTTTGTTTGACTAAACATAGTACCATTGACGGCCGCCAAAGGCGCTGTTCCTATTTCCATAAAATTTTTGTCAATGACGAAAGGAAAAAAGTTAGTGTCAAAAACTTGTCCTAATGGCAAATATAGACTTTTCTAGTTTTAGAGAGAATTTGCCAAAATTCATTACGCTAAGCAAAAGTGTCTTTGGCAATTTCAGTATTAAACGCTGCTGACTGAGAGATTTTTCTGCATAATATACTTAGTACGCTGCTACCACATGGCAATGTAGATTAACTTAAAATAACCATAAGGTTGTATATCTAATTTTACTACTTGAGCTGTGCCTAGCCTCAAACGTGTATTATGTTGTTAATTTACATACATAGCGTCACGCCTGAAAAACCAGGCGGGCGGGTAGGGGCAGAACCAAAAAGCAGCGAGCTACTTGGGTCAAGTTTAGCGCAAAAATATGGTTTTCAACTCATCACCTACCCAAGTAACACAGTTGACACATAATTTTTTTGTCACATTATAATGGGACTGATTCGTCCCACATAAATGGGTCCCGGACCACTATCATCAATAAATTTTCTCATATTCTCATATTCTCTATATATAATAATTATCCTTATTAAAGAGCTCAAGTAAATAAAACTGTTTCGAAAAAGCTCTGAGTACGTCATTTTGAATTTAACTCAAGTCGTAAACCATCGTCGAATATTATAGAAACATTATAATATTTTGCTGTTAAACTATTAAAGCGTTTCATATTTTAACATGGCTTTATTTAAGGTGTATTTAAATAACTATGCATTAAAATTATTTTTTAATCAAATTGAATTATATAAAAGCTTTTAGAAAAATTTACTTCGCAAATATCCGCGTTATAAAATAAAATGATGTGTCTTACCTAGTATGAAGAACACCTCCCGCCCTCCCTCAATTGTGTGCACTATCCCCGTCACCACTAATCCCAGCACCGCTGCTCCCAATACCACTACACTAGGCAAGACACACCACTGACGATAATACGACACGTGTTTCGCCTCTACACGAGGCATCCTCAGGTGATATAGACTCTACGGTTGCTAACCACTAAGTGAGCGGCGAGCCAAAACAAGTGCCTTTTATACAGACCGATGACGCAACCGCTCTCTATTTAAGGAGCGAGCGACTGCGTCATGCAATAAAACATGCGACCAATCACCGCCGCACACATGTTTTCCAAATTTATCGAAAGCCAACTCACACCGACACGGTCATCCCCGTGTCATCGTGTCATCCGTGGCAACATAAAGTAGCCGCTTTTTATTGTTACATTAACCGTTTGTTCACTGTCCCATTAAGTAAAGAATATTATTTAAAAGAACTTAATATAATTTATCAAATAGCGGTCTCTAACGGTTTTTCAAAAAATCTCATTAACAATTTAATTAAAAAGAAACAAAAGCATGTTGTTCGCAACTCTCTGTACGTGGTTCAATCTCAAAGTATTCATCGATATGTGAGCAGTTTGACCTACTTAGGCCCCATATCTGAAAAAGTAGCTAATACTCTTCGACAAAACGGCGTTTATGAGGCGCTCAAAACAAACAATTCTCTTAGAAATATCTGCAATAATAAAGATAAGTTGGATATTCGTCAAAAGTCAGGTGTTTACAAACTTGTTTGTGACGAATGCCACGCCGTTTACGTGGGTCAGACTGGTCGCAATTTCGAGACACGTTATAAAGAGCATTTAGCCGCGTACAGGAATTGCAATTCCGATAAATCCCATTTTGCCAAACATCTTTTGGACACTGGACACAACCTAGCCAACGACCACTCCTTTAAAGTCTTACATACGTGTAATAAAGGGCTGCGGCTGTGTGTGCTGGAACAGTTAGATATATTAAAAAGTAATAATAGTACCGTCAGTCTGAGCGAGATTAGAACGGCTCTCCAGCACCTTAAAAACGGCAAGGCCCCAGGCGAGGATGAAATTACAGCGGAGCTTCTGAAAGCGGGTGGAAAACCGGTACTTGAAGTCCTTTAGAAGCTCTTTAATTCCGTCTTCCATGTTGGCATTACACCGGAGGCGTGGAGCAGCAGTGCGGTGGTCTTGTTCTTCAAGAAAGGCGACAACGCTCTCTTGAAGAACTACAGACTGATTTCCCTTCTGAGCCGCGTCAACGTGCTGTTTTCGAGAGTCATTACGAATCGTCTTGCGCGCAGACTTGACGACTTCCAGCCTCCCGAACAAGCTGGTTTCCGAAAGGGCTTTAGCACCATAGACCACATACATACCATTCGGCAAATTGTACAGAAGTCAGAGGAGTACAATTTGCCACTATGTCTGGCGTATGTGGACTATGAGAAAGCCTTTGATACCGTCGAAATTTGGGCGGTGCTGCAGTCCCTTCAGCGGTACCAAGTTGACTGTCGGTATATCGAAGTGCTGAAGTGCTTATACAGTAGGGCTACGATGGAAGTTTCTGGACCGGAAAGGATACGGTATCAACATCAATGGCGAGTACATCACTCACCTTCGATTTGCCGACGATATAGTCCTTATGGCAGAATCGCTGGAGGACCTAAGCACTATGCTCAATGACCTCAATAGTGTTTCCCAACGGATAGGTCTTAAGATGAACATGGACAA